GTAATCGGCCAGTTTTGTCTACAAATGTTGAACTTGAGGGGAAAACCGCTGACCAAAATCTTGTACACCAATGCCCACTAATGCCCAATGGGCATTACTTTATCGTGTTATCTTATTTATCTTGTTTTATCTTATTTTATCTTATTTGATCTTTATAATGCCCCAGCAAGGCCTAATGCCCAAACTAATGTCTCAAAAATGCCTAGTAATGCCTAGTAATGCCACAAATCTGTACACCACAATGCCCTCAGCGGTTTCCCCCTTGGTTGAACTCGGTTAGGGTGCCGTGTAAACATAATAATCTATGGTCAGGTCCAATATAAATCCTGTAGGAGGTTCGATGTTAATGTCATAAAAAATCACGATCTAAATACCAAAATGTTACTTTTTCCGCGACGTTTACGAACATATTCCGCATGAAAATCGATATAAATCTAATCCTCATTTAATAGCGGCAATAGTTTACACGTGAAAAAAACAGAAAATTATTAGAGGAAAAGTAATACGATGGCGCAGTTGTATGGCGTGAAACGCTACCGCGTCTCTCGATAGGCAAGGTAAGCTTAAAAGGGATTGTTTTTCCACTTCTTGGTAGACGAGAGGGCTATATATATAAAAAATTGAGAGTGGCATTTGCTGGCGTGACGGATAGCAGTCGTATAGTCTCCGCCGCAAGCCCGTGCAACGGAGTCCATTATCTAACGTATTCATGTCCACGTGCCCGACGTAACCATTAAATTCGCGCGGCGGCGTCTCGACAGCGAAGGTAGCACGGGCGTAACTGACGCTTGCCGGCATACGCACGTGTGACGCAATTACATTAATATCAGCGCGTTGTAAAACAGCTCAAGCAAGAGGGAAAATTCTTTACTCACCGCTGAGCTGACGGTTCATTCTGACGGACTGGTAAATCAGTTCAAATCCTGCGATCAATCGTTGTTTACGAGCATCCGACGGTGAGCTGTCAAATTGCGGAGTCGAAGAAAGCCGGGACGCGGAAGTGAGAAGTGCCGCACCGACTCGACTGGGAATATCTCGGTAGACAGGACGTGCTGCTACTTTCACAGGACACGTAAACGCCAAGGAGCAGAGCGCAGGTGTCACGTAGGAAATCCGCTAGAATGTCACACAATTGTAATCAAATTTGATTGAAAGCATGGCGCAGCGTGCGCGGCAAGACTGGACGCATCCCGCGTCGCGGAAAGACGCGGGAGGTCGCGGGAGGTCGCGGAAGGATGCGGCGTCGCCACCGTGATACACAGCCGAACAAATTACGAAAAGTACTTACTACCTGCGTGCTAACAGCGTATTTGCGCTTCTTCTCTCGTCATCCAGTGATACTGCTGTTAGACCACATTTTCTCTTCGCGCACCATGCTTTCTGGTATAAATGACAGGTACTGTCAGAAAAGTTGAATAACATACCTAGAATTGCCATCCACGCTCGTTCGTACGATTTCCGTTTGATGCGCCGCCTGGTGAAATGGACGTGAACTATTATACATCCATTATGGTCGGTAACGATGCATAGTTTGTGTCTAAACTATAGGCTTGTTTTCTGTTCCTACACTAGTGAACTAGTGCAATAAATTGGAGTAAGACAAGCATATTTTTTCTCATTCTAGCTTAAGGCCTTCACACATAAAATTCCGTAAGG